CACCTGACCTGAACCATACTGTCAGGCACCACTGATATATACAGCTAGAGTTGCATGGTCAGCACAAAATCGTTCAGGCCGACATCCTTTGACTTAAATTCCTGTATACACAACACCACATGAACACAATTACCAGTCAATGTTCAGTGTTCAGTCAATACTGAAGTCAAAGTTGATAGCAGTGCTTAACATCTCTCCAACACAATTATCTGCATTGATTGGAATCAAATCACAAAGCAAATGCAATGTTCTGGATTGTAAGCAGTATTTAGCCCAGTATCAGAAAAATACAATGTTCGGCACCAAATGAAGTATTTAGCTCACGTTTAGTTCTGCACTATTTAACTAATCTGGTGCTTACAAAGCTTTGCAATCACTGGAATAAATTAACTGCCCCGTGCATATAACAATGCCCTGCTCTGAAACTGTTTTCAACTACAAGTATAACAACCTAAACCATCTAGAAGGAATCGAGATACTTGGCAAGCGCAATGCTCTTCACTAGCTACCAGTTATCTACTTAACCAGATAACACAATGCTCTGTATCAGCTACCAGTTATCCACTCAACCACATAACACAATGCTCTGCATCAGCTACCAGTTATCCACTCAACCACACAACACAATGCTCTGTATCAGCTACCAATTATCCACTCAACCACATAACACAATGCTCTGTATCAGCTACCAGTTATCCACTCAACCACACAACACAATGCTCTGTATCAGCTGGCAGTTATCCACTCAACCACACAACACAATGCTCTGTATCAGCTACCAGTTATCCACTCAACCACACAACACAATGCTCTGTATCAGCTACCAGTTATCCACTCAACCACACAACACAATGCTCTGTATCAGCTACCAGTTATCCACTCAACCACACAACACAATGCTCTGTATCAGCTACCAGTTATCCACTCAACCACTCAACCACATAACACAATGCTCTGTATCAGCTACCAATTATCCACTCAACCACACAACACAATGCTCTGTATCAGCTGGCAGTTATCAACTCAACCACATAACACAATGCTCTGTACTAGCTACAAGAAATAAACTTACCGAGCCAACATAATGGTCATAACCATCTGTCAGCAATCAACTTACCTGGACAATACAATGCTCTTCACTATCCAGCAATAACAACCTCCCCTGGACATTACAATGCTCTTAGTTATCTGACAGTTATTAACTCACCTGACAAACACAATGTTCTTCACTCCACTATCCAGCAGCAACTAAATCACCTGGACAATACAATGCTCTTCACTATCTGGCAGTAATTAACTCACCTGACAAATACAATGCTCTTCACTATCCAGCAGCAACTAAATCACCTGGACAATACAATGCTCTTCACTATCTGGCAGTAATTAACTCACCTGACAAATACAATGCTCTCAGCTATCCAGCAGCAACCAAATCACATGAACATTACAATGCTCTTCACTATCTGGCAGTAATGAACTCACCTGACAAACACAACCCTCTTCACTACCTGGCAGTAATTAACTCACCTGGCAAATACAATGTTCTGTGCTGACTGGAAGTACTTGGCTAATGAGAGGTAGACATGGTTGAGGTTGGCACAGAAGCCACACCATGAGGCATACACAAACAGCAGCACATCCTGCAAACAGACAAAACATACATCAAATATCGGAAGGGTGCATTCCAATTCTTAGTTCACTGTAATATATTTCTGCATAATAACTGACAGAAAATTAAGAACACCACTTAATCATCACCATATCAGCGAAGTGGTACCTTTTGAATCATCAACACTATCACAAACAGGATTCTGATACTTCAACTGCCTTGACATTTAAAACAGCAGCTTCCTAATACCCATAAAATAACATTGTATATTCCTTGAAAGAATATTGAACACACCATATATATCCCATTTTCTGGAAAGACTTTTCTGACACATGGGATATTTCTTCAACAACACCATGAACCAAACATCTACAAAGTGAGGTGAGGTGAAATTGGGTTTAACGTCGTACTGGAGAATATTTCGGCCATATGGCGGCGCAACGCATGCGGTGTATGTGTATTGCTTGCTTGTACTAGCCCAGACTTAAGCTGGTTTTATAGTGCTAGCTCACTGAGATACCATGCCGCAGTGAAGCATGAATACCCCACTCAGACACAGTATACTGACTCGAAGCCAATTCAGTCCTTGTTGTACCCATTAATGCCAACCAGGCAGGGACCAACAAGTACCATATTAAACGTGCTTCGAAGCCGAGGGCAGGGACCAACAAGTAGGACTTCGAAAGGAGATATTTTAATTGGCGTTGACAGACTGCCTGCCATGTGCTAAGCATGAGCTGACGTTAACGTCTAATATTAAGAAAGATATAATTTTATTATCCCGGAGGAAATTCTTATACATCCAACTGTCTCAATATGAATATGTACACAGTTCACAAAATATACACAATAATTACACGCTCAAAACAGATGCTATTTACACAATAAAACTGACAGGATATAATTCAATTAACCACATAGGTAAAGAGGCTGAATAATTCCTAGTTGTAATCACCTGATGGTGATTTAAAATATTTGTTGCATTCACTACTAATACTTGATGGTATGAAAGACTTTGTCGAGCGCTCTGTTTTGAGGGAAGGTAATCGACAGCAGCGTCCAGAAGGAAGTAGTTCAAAATGGTGAGATCAAATATGTCAACTATCAAATCTAATTTGCATATACTCATTTGAGTACATGCAAATATTTGTAAATACTTCAGTACATATGTCGACCAGTCCCAAGTCAGCACCAACAGCAGATGGCAGTAAAAAATTCAGATTTGAATTATAATTTGAACTATTTATGAAAATGAGAACATTAAAAAAAATCCAATTTCGGACAATATCATGCTATTTTGCCACCCAAAGGAACCTAGTTCTTACTCTGAGACAAATCTTTGATAATACATAACCAAGAACAGATAATCTGGACAAATACTAAACAAGGAACTCTACCTTCCAGATTAACAGTGTTCCCCCACTGCCTTACAATAACAGAAAGAGTGCTGGTGAACCCTGCTCCCCACAGGGTTGTCCTGACACGATACAGGCACATTTGATGACTTGAATCCTAATCGATGACTTTCAGCTGCACTGCATCAAATCAGCACCTGACCTGAACCATACTGTCAGGCACCACTGATATATACAGCTAGAGTTGCATGGTCAGCACAAAATCAGTCAGGCCGACATCCTTTGACTTAAATTCCTGTATACACAACACCACATGAACACAATTACCAGTCAATGTTCAGTGTTCAGCCAATACTGAAGTCAAAGTTGATAGCAGTGCTTAACATCTCTCCAACACAATTATCTGCATTGATTGGAATCAAATCACAAAGCAAATGCAATGTTCTGGATTGTAAGCAGTATTTAGCCCAGTATCAGAAAAATACAATGTTAGGCACCAAATGAAGTATTTAGCTCCGTTTAGTTCTGCACTATTTAACTAATCTGGTGCTTACAAAGCTTTGCAATCACTGGAATAAATTAACTGCCCGTGCATATAACAATGCCCTGCTCTGAAACTGTTTTCAACTACAAGTATAACAACCAAATCATCTAGAAGGAATCGAGATACTTGGCAAGCATGAAATGCTCTTCACTAGCTACCAGTTATCTACTTAACCAGATAACATAATGCTCTTATCACTACCAGTTATCCACTAACCAGCTCTGTATCTACCAGTTATCCACCAACCACACAACACAATGCTCTGTATCAGCTGGCAGTTATCCACTCAACCACATAACACAATGCTCTGTATCAGCTACCAGTTATCCACTCAACCACACAACACAATGCTCTGTATCAGCTACCAGTTATCCACTCAACCACATAACACAATGCTCTGTATCAGCTACCAGTTATCCACTCAACCACACAACACAATGCTCTGTATCAGCAACCACATACAACACAATGCTCTTATCAGCTACCAGTTATCCACTCAACCACACAACACAATGCTCTGTATCAGCTACCAGTTATCCACTCAACCACATAACACAATGCTCTGTATCAGCTACCAGTTATCCACTCAACCACATAACACAATGCTCTGTATCAGCTACCAGTTATCCACTCAACCACACAACACAATGCTCTGTATCAGCTACCAGTTATCCACTCAACCACACAACACAATGCTCTGTATCAGCTATCCACACAACACATCCACTTAACAACCACTACCAAAGTATAACACAATGCTCTGTATCAGCTACCAGTTATCCACTCAACCACACAACACAATGCTCTGTATCAGCTGGCAGTTATCCACTCAACTCAATCAGCTACATAAACACACATGCTCTGTACTCAGCTACCAAGAACTCCAACCACATAACACAATGCTCTGTATCACCGAGCCAACATAATGGTCATAAACCATCTGTCAGCAATCAACTTACCTCGGACAATACAATGGACAATCCAGCAGTAATCAACTGCCTGGACAATCAATGCTATTCACTATCTGCAATAACAGCCTCCCCTGGACATTACAATGCTCTTAGCTATCTGACAGTTATTAACTCACCTGACAAACACAATGCTCTTCACTATCCAGCAGCAACTAAATCACCTGGACAATACAATGCTCTTAGCTATCTGGCAGTAATTAACTCACCTGACAAATACAATGCTCTTCACTATCCAGCAGCAACTAAATCACCTGGACAATACAATGCTCTTAGCTATCTGACAGTTATTAACTCACCTGACAAACACAATGCTCTTCACTATCCAGCAGCAACTAAATCACCTGGACAATACAATGCTCTTAGTTATTTGGCAGTAATTAACTCACCTGACAAATACAATGCTCTCAGCTATCCAGCAGCAACCAAATCACATGGACATTACAATGCTCTTCACTATCTGGCAGTAATTAACTCACCTGACAAACACAACCCTCTTCACTACCTGGCAGTAATTAACTCACCTGGCAAATACAATGTTCTGTGCTGACTGGAAGTACTTGGCTAATGAGAGGTAGACATGGTTGAGGTTGGCACAGAAGCCACACCATGAGGCATACACAAACAGCAGCACATCCTGCAAACAGACAAAACATACATCAAATATCGGGAAGGGTGCATTCAATTCTTAGTTCACTGTAATATATTTCTGCATAATAACTGACAGAAAATTAAGAACACCACTTAATCATCACCATATCAGCGGAAGTGGTAACTTTTGAATCATCAACACTATCACAAACAGGATTCTGATACTTTGAACTGCCTTGACATTTAAACAGCAGCTTCCTAATACCCATAAAATAACATTGTATATTCCTTGAAAGAATATTGAACACACCATATATATCCCATTTTCTGGAAAGACTTTTCTGACACATGGGATATTTCTTCAACAACACCATGAACCAAACATCTACAAAGTGAGGTGAGGTGAAATTGGGTTTAACGTCGTACTGGAGAATATTTCGCTCATATGGCGGCGTGCATGCGTGTGTATGTGTATGTGCGGCTGCTTGTACTAGCCCAGACTTAAGCTGGTTTTATAGTGCTAGCTCACTGAGATACCATGCCGCAGTGAAGCATGAATACCCCACTCAGACACAGTATACTGACTCCGAGCCAACCAGTCCTTGTTGTACCCATTAATACCGAAGAGCGCCAGGCAGGGACCAACAAGTACTATATTTTAACGTCTTTTGGTATGACGCGGTCGGGGATCGAACCCGCGACCTTCCGCACTCCGGGCGGACGCTCTAACCACTACACAACGGAGGCGGTCCATCTACAAAGTAGTCACATGATACTTTAACAGTAAATGAACGTGATTTGCCTTGAGATTCCCATCCTCATTCATAAAGTTTAACAATGTCAGATATGTCAATACACCTACTCTGAAAAAATGTCTGTGAATCAAGCATTTTCCAGTTCAAGGTAGGAATGTATCCACTAAGCTCTGTTCATCCAAGGATTGTCCATCTCTCTATCTTGATCATGTTATATCTTTCACTGTTCAGCATTAAACAATGAACATGTGCAAAGAATTTGACTATGGGTACAACTGAATTCTGTAAGCAACACAGAAGAATGTACACAAATATAGATAACCCTTTTCATTAAACACCGCAATGTATACTATTGTATGCTGCAAAGGCCTTGTCTTCGAAACAAAGACCAACTCTATGGTGTAGTGGAGAAAGAATCTGAGGGCAGAAAATCCCATACCAAAGACGATAAAATACAGTACTTGTTGTTACCTTGCCCTGTGCTCAACAGTTGGGGATAAGACAAAAGCATGGTTTGTTTGTTTGTTTGTTTAACGTCGCACTCAGCAATTTTCTATTCATATGACAGCAGCCTCTAATAATCGTGACCAGACAATCCAGTGATTGACATCAGAGCATTGATAAGCGCAACAGGGATATAGAGAATCTCACCCAAGTGTCTTTTGATATAAGATAACGTCACACTCAGCAATGTTCTATTCATATGACAACAGCCTCTAATAATCGTGACCAGACAATCCAGTGATTGACATCAGAGCATTGATCAGTGCAACAGGGATGTAGAGAATCTCACCCAAGTGTCTTTTGATATAAATTATCATATGATAAAGTTACATATATTCGAGGCTTGTCGAGTCTTGATATATTTGATATCAGGAGACACAAGGGTGAGATTATATCTATCAACAAAAATCACTCTTCGTTCATTTTCAATGAAACATGTACATCTCCCAACACGGTACTGTCATTATACTTGCAGTGCAGCGATGTCATAGCATTGTGACATCATCAAGTTCATGATGTCATAGCACTGTCAGGGCATTGCAGAAAATCTATTGTCAAAACGATATCTCCTCCTAGGAGATATCGTTTGATCTCACACAAGCAATATCTCCTGGGGAACACAGTTTTTGATGATAAATGATGACTTGCGTCAAGAGAGCTTGACCATCCAATCCCATTAGTTGTCTCTTACTACAGTTGATCCATTCTGCTCCTGTGGTCGCCCCTATGAGGATACTTTACATTACTTCTTTACTTGTCCTAATTATTCCAACATCAGATATCACATGTATTTTTTACGAACATGGATATAATTTAAATTCTGTCCTAAATGGCAATCCAAACAAAAATAAACTCACAAATTCTTTTATACTAAAATCTGTCCATACTTTTATAATAAATTCGCATAGGTTTGATAAATGATTAATGATGTTCAATAGCAGGTTGCTTGCTTTCCTATCATGCTGCATATTATTTGATGTTTGTTTTATTCATGTATCAATGAAATGGAGAGGTATTCAAATAAGCCATTACGGCTTGTTTACCAATCCTAGTTCAATATATTTTGAATAAAATATATTTACACTACTACAAGCATGAGTTGTTGAAGACAATGTTTCACCCGTACCTGGTCAATTCAGAGTGAATAAAGTATGTCTGAGAGGGGTATCAATGTTAAACTGCAGCATGGTATCTCAGAAGGCTGGTATCTCAAAATGCTGGTTGCATTATAACTACGAATGGTAAAACACACACATGCATGTACAATAATCTTCAGCACAACATTAATCCCACCCCACCCCACCTCACCTCACCTCACCTCACCTCACCTCACACACACACAAAAAAACTAAAACAAATTTTTGGAACATGAACATGCCAAGTTGAAACTAACACCTTTTTTTAAACGTTTAATGGAACAAAACAATGAAACATAGCATTTGCAATGGCCATAAATAGTTTCATTGCAATGACAAGAAGAAGCAATAATAAGGTTTTTGTTTTCATCAAGTTTTATGATGGCAGTAAAAATGAAACATTCCCACATAGACTCTGAAGCATGAGACACTGGACTGTTGATAACAGTCATGCAACACTGACCAGCATCCAAAGTGGGATTCTGACAAAAACTAGCGTGGGTCATATCACCAACAAAATCATTCCCAACCAAATTAATTTCATCACTATAAACTAACATTCAGTCAAGCTTGCGTGTATTTGGCTTCATCAAAAGTGATATTCTTATCATATCGGTGTTGAAACAAACATGCTCCACTGAGAAAATTATAGACAAAAGAAATCCAGAATTACAAAAATCACATCCCCTCAGTCATATCTAAACCCAGTTGATGCATGTGAGGAATATTAGAAGGAGATGTTTTGCAACTGTGTACAATATATCACTCAGTCAGCCTCAGGGAGTTGGGTTTTTTTTTCATTTTTGCTAGAAACCTGAGATTTACCGCACAGAAAAATGGTGCAACCAACACCAGGCCATAAACCTAGAGAGTTATAAACCTTTTTCCCCCTTATCAGAGCAGAAATGAAAGTCTACCCACTGATCCAAGGAAGCTAATGGTGAAACGGGCCTGAGGGGTTTTACAAACTCTTGATGTTTGTGAACCTGATACTCCAGGAGAGAAACATTTCAGCGATTTATGGCAGCGTGATGCAGGTAGAATATAACTGGCACCCTGGTTCAGTGCTTCCACTATCAGCAATCAGCATGAGAACAAATGTGCAGGTCAGGGAACAAGTGTTCCAGAACAAGAGTGAGGATCCACTCCACTGTTATATAATGACATACAATCAGTCAGGTCAGGATGTTTCACCCAGTCTCAAGTTTGTTAGTTCTTGCAACACGTTTTGGGCACTGGCCAGGTCATAATGGGTGGACAAGCTTTGGGCTCTAGTGGGTGATTGTGACCTTGAATCCCAACACAAACAATCTTTGGGTTCTGGTGGGTGATTGTGACCTTGAATCCCAACACAGCAACCTTTGGGTGCTGGTGGGTGATTGTGACCTTGAATCCCAACACAGCACCTTTGGGTGCTAGTGGGTGATTGTGACCTTGAATCCCAACACAGCAACCTTTGGGTGCTAGTGGGTGATTGTGACCTTGAATCCCAACACAGCAACCTTTGGGTGCTGGTGGGGTGTTCTCACCCTGAACCTCCACAAGTAGACAAGCTTTGAGTACAAGTAGGTTATTCAGACCCAGAATATCAACAGGAAGACAATTTTTGAGTGCTGGTGGGTTATCCAGACCCAGAATCCCAAAAGGAAGACAAACCAAAGAAAGGAGACCCGTAAGGGTCCCTGTTAGAATTGATCTTCAGTAACCCATGCTTGTCGTAAGAGGCGACTAACGGGATCGGGTGATCGGGCTGACTGGGTTGACCCATGTCATCGGTTCCCAATTGCGTAGATCGATGTTCATGCTGTTGATCCCTGGATTGTCTGGTCCAGACTCGATTATTTACAGACCGCCGGCATATAGCTGGAATATTACTGAGTGCGGCGTAAAACTAAACTCACTCACTCACCAAGGGAAGGAGAACCTGTTATCATGAACATGACCTGGAATCACAATGAAAACAAGTACCTCATGTTACTAGGTGGTATCTGCAATACTGACAAGGTAGAAACATATGTCTCCTGGATTACACAGACTTCAGCCACAAGACCATAGTTCAATCACTCAAAGCTCTTTCAGTCTCACCTGGTTTCTGAATGATTTGAAATTTAAAGGTGACCCCACTACCTGAACAAATACTGGACAGGGTAGGGCTAGGTACATTATATTAAGAGCTAAGCTAAAATAAAAGACAACATTGTAATGGTAAATCAAAAGGCAATTAAATATGATGCCATAACTAGCTGATGCAGCAGGTTTCGAAACCTATCATGTACATACAATGAGGGGCAGTGAGTTAGTCCAGTGGTTAAAGTGTTCGCTCATCACACGTTCAATTCCTCCCCACAGGTACAATTTTGTAACGCCCATTTCTGATGTCCCCCACCATGATGTTGCTGGAATTATATAGTGGAATATTGCTAACAGCAGCAGTAAAACCATACTCACTCACTCACTTCTTGAATATCCATTCAATCTTTACTGAATTCATCCCCGAAAAGGTTTTACAAATGAGATTTGTGATGAACTGCAGACCACGTCATCTTTAACATCACAACTATGAAAATAATTGCCCCAACCATCAAGCAGTGTCATTAATTAATGACAACTGATGTTCTGACAAGGGTCAGAAAATGAATCCCCAATAAACA